TCCAGTTCCAGGGGAAGTCCGAAGCCCTCTTCTGACTTCCTGCGGCATTGCACAACACAGGTGCACTCACATACATGCAGGCAATACACTCATACACATAAAATAAAAACAATAAATAATAAAAATATGCTGATTTAAATGCACAAGAAAATGGATAGAACGATGGAGAAAGGCTAGAAAGTTCTAATACAAAAACCTATGGTGAATCTAAATGAATCCACAGTGAAAATTAATCAGTGGACATTGCAGATAAGAAGAACATGATTTCTTAAATCTACCAGACTGCTTGAACGGAAGACAATATAGAAAAAGACACTCTCAGAGAAGCAGTAATCCAGAAGACAGAGCAATAGATGGCATCCAGTGAATGGATGGAATATTTAGAGATGGAAAAACTCAAAAAGAATGCAAGAAATCTTTGGGTCTGTCTACGCAGTCTGAAGGGGAAATGCATCCTGTATTTTCATTCTAGAGAGAGAGAGAGAGACGCAGTGACAGGCTTGCAGGAAAATGTCATAATGAAACCCAGTATTCTGCACAACAGTGGAAAGGATGAAGTAGGGGGGGAGGGGAACCAAAAGGAGAGGGAGGGAGATGTAGAAGCAGAGGGGAGGGAAGAAGCAATACTTGAAGGAAGACTGACTGAGGATTTTCCAAACTGGATATGTGACATCAAGTCTTAAACCAAGAGACTCAGAAAAGTCAAAATGGGATAAATTAAAACAATCACAGAAACCTAAATTCATTGCAACACAATGTAAGAGAAAAATCTTAGACACAGAGAAAAATTCACAACCTAAGCCATAAGCTATGAAAACTGGCCATCGCTGACAGAGCATGAGACGGACTGGGTGGAGGGCAGGACTCATCAAGGAAGCTCCAACTCATCTCATTGTTGATAACAGAAACCTGACGAAACTGTCAAAAAGCACTGTACACGTGCGACTCAATTATTGTAAAGGTGAAAACACAGCTGGGCTTTAGCCAGGCAAAAGCAAGCGGGAGGAGACAGGGTGGCTTGCAGCCCGGGAGCCAAAGACCAGACCATACCTGTGTTTCGGGACTAGCATCTTCAGTCTGTTTGGAACCAGAGACCAGAAGCCACACAGGCTCTAAGAACGCCAGTCCCACAGCCCACAACCCATCTCCACAGTGAGCACGAGGAGGGGACAGCCCCGGGTTGGGACTGCTTCTCAGGAAGTCACATGGGCTCCATGTTATGTCGGTTGTAGAGTTGTTATGAAGAGTTCTGTGCCAGTGTGCTCATGATGCAGCAAATGAATCCTTCCCAAACATAGTGCCTTCACTGCTTATGACACCTGATGACAGAGTCTCACACATTATGAAAGAGGGTCCACCCCACCAATGACAGAGAAGAGAGAGCCCAGAAACAGGCCTACATGGCCACTTGGTGATCAGTCAATGGTATCAGAAAAATAATAAAAATTAAAATAAAACTTCAGGGTATGTGGGGGAAACACTTGTCTCACATGAGATAGGAAATGTGAAAGAAGAAATAACAAAAACAAAAAACATATCCAGATTACGTCTGGTAGAAAATTTGAGGTGAGCTGCCCAGGTCCACGTGTAAGATAAGGGAGATGGGGTATAAAAGGACAGCAGGCCTGCGGAAAATAAAGGGCAACAGAAGGCAAAATTCAGGAAGAATCCGTCTGGAAGAACGTTCTAAGATTAGGAAATGTTCCCAAAGCACTTACTCACTTCAAGAACCTAAATAACAAGGTGGTGAGGCCTGGTGTAGTGGCACACACCTTTAATCCCAACACTAGGGAGGCAGAAGCAGGTAGGCCTCTGTGAGATCGAGGCCAGCCTGGTCTACATAGTTCTAGGCCAGCTGGGGTTCAAAAACAGACAAACAAAACCAGGGTGGTGACACTGGGGTGATGAACTGACAAGATTTAGCTTAAAGCAGAGTCTGCAGAGATACGGGAACAAACAAACATCCCCCTAACAAAAGCACAGCCAGCTTCTTTAAAATTAGAAATTAGAAGCTGGGTATGGTGCCACACATCTTTAATCCCAGCATTCTGGAGGCAGGGGCAGGCAGATCTCTGTGAGATGGAGGCCAGCCTGGTCTACATAGCAAGTTCCAAGCTAACTGGGGCTATAGGGAGACCTTGTCTCAAAAACACACACACAAAATTTTTTTTTTAATCAGAGGAAAGCATCTGGGGGCAATAAAGACAGGATAAAATAACGTGGCTCCAATACAAGAATCATTTTGCCCAAAAATAGAAACAGAAAAAGTCAGAGATATTAGAAAAGAAACTTTCCCTGAATAAAGATAAGTCTCCTGGCACAGAACTATGGTAAAAACAACAGCAGCAATAAAGCACACAGGCGTGCCAGGTCTAGTGGTGCAGGCCTGTAATCCCAGCGATTTAAGAGACTGAGGCGGGAAGATTGCAGGTTCGTGGTCAGCCTGGGCCGTAGAGTGAGTTCAAGACCAATCTGGGCAATGTAGTGAGACTGTCTCAAAATAAAAAGTAAAAAGAGGGCTGGGGATATAGCTCAGTGATACAGTGCTTGCCTTGCAAGCATAAGGCCCTAAGTTCAAAGCCAGGTACTGAAAACAAGAACAAAAACCCTCAACAGTCCTCATGCAATCAATTAGTAATTTCCTACATCACTTTATTCATTAAGGATGCATGTATCTCACAAGATTGATACTATACAAAATCTAAACATCATATTTTAACTTTTTATAAGACAAAACTCTCTATTCACAAAGTTAAAAAGACAAGGGAAACATATTCATACTTTTTCAGGATATTTAACAAAGTTTCCCATCACAGGAATGAAGCAGAAACAACAAATACTTGACTGTCAGCAAAAAATAAGCCAGAGATAAGAGAGGGAATTTAAGAACCAGTGAACAAGAAAAACAACTCATTTCCTACTTAATAGTTAGAATTCAAAATAACATACACATCTTTATTGCCTTTGTGGTTTGTCTGACTGAGGGGAGATGCCTCAACTCATGTGATTGGCAAGAGAATGCATCGACCCCATCTTTTCATACGTAATTTGGCAGCATCTATGCACAAGTATTTATTAATACCCTTTGACTCAATAATTCTATTTTTTTTTTGACACAAGACAAAATACTTGTCCACAAGCAAAATGAAGTACACAGTCATTGTTATAGCTGGTTGGTGAAAGTGAATGACTGGAATAGCCCAATGTCCATCAAAAAGAGACTGGTTTAAAACTCATGGTACAGGGCTTGTGAGATGGCTCAGTGCGTAAAAAGGGCCTGCTGCTAAGCCTGATGACCTGAGTTCGATCCCCGGAACCCACATGGTAGAAGGAGAGAATTGACTCCTGAAAGTTGTCCTCTGGTCTCCACATGAGTACCATGGAACATGCAAAGCAGCACACATGTACACACATAAATAAATAAATGTAATAAAATTATAACACTTGTGGTGCATTTATCAATCCTCCAAATAGCATGTAGCTGGTAGAAAGAATATAGTAAATTAAGGTGAAAAGATCTCTAAGATTTCTACCTTTAAAATAAGCTTCAGTGCAAAACCAGAGCAGAATGTGCAGTGCCTCCCATTAATTACAAAGTGAGAGCACACAGGATGTGTTTATGAAACCAAGTTCTATATGTAAATGCATAGAAAAGGATTAGGAAGGGTGAGCCCAGGACTCAGCTGGATTAGAAGCTGTGAGGTGGGGGATGGGGTCGGGGGGCAGTTAATGAAGGTGATTTTATCCTTTGTATAGTCCCACAGTGTTTGAAAGTATATGAACAACACTGGATTATGAACTTGGCCTGGTAGCACAGGCTTGCAATCCCAGCTACTCAGAAGACTGAGGCAGCAGGATCACAAGTTCTTTACCTGTCTGGGCCATAGAGTGAGTCCAAGGCTAGCCTGAGTAATTTAGCAAAACCCTGGCTCAAGATTTAAAAAGAAATACAAAAAAACCAACTGATAGAGCTATAACCCAGCATATACAAAACCCTAGGTTCAATTCCCAGAACTGAAAAAAAATTGCATTTTTTCTTTTGTATTAACAAAACATTGAATAATGTTAATTCTGAATAATACTGCTGAATTCTCATTACTGGAGAAAAGAGAGTTCTGTCATTTCCTTGGAAGTATCACCCACCCTAGAACAGAACACTAAATATACAAATGTTCGGCTTCCCCCAGGACTTTTACCACCAAAGGTCTTTCTCTTCCTTTGATATATTTGAGGAAGAGCTCAGATCAGGAGCCAACCTGAGGACAGCTCAGGCTGGCAGGTCACACAAGTCGGGTAAGAAGGAACTGTTTACCCCGTCCCCCAAGGCTCTGTGATTTGACTTCTTTCCCTGAAGTGACCTGGGGGATGGAGACAGGGGGAGGGACTGAGGACATTCAGGGGTCAAGAGGTAACAACAAACCCAAAGCACAGAGGTCAGCTGCCAGGAGTCCCCACGGCTATGTCCTGAGTCTCTGACAGCTGAGAAATTGTTGTAAAACAAGAAAGTCACATGCTTTATGGCATGCTGGCCGTGTCAAAAGATGTGCAGCTCATTTTTAAAACTCTAGATTCCTCTCCTCTCCTCTCC